AAAAAAAATGAATCTTATTGTTAATTGTTTATATTTTTTAAGCGTTGATATTCCGTATATGATCGAACTGTTAAGGATTAAATCAATATGAAATCATTATTTGAGAATTAAAAATAAACGACAATGAGAAAGCTTTAAGAAAATTGAAAAAAAAATATCTTGATATTTTTACAAATAATTTGTGTTTATCATTTAATCACATTTTTTAAATATATTTCAGACTATGTTTTCTATTTGCTTACAACACGGCCGTATGAAACATTGTTTCCAATGGACAGTGAGGAATTAGATCGATCTCAATTTCAGTAAAATTACTGTAAGCTGTTATTTGGGAAATTTTAAATTTTATGTTAGTTTAGTTGTCAGTATTTGAAACTATAACACTGAATGAGCCTCAATTAACTGCATACATCCAAACAATCATTATCAATAGAAATCCTAATCACATCTAATACATCGAATTTGTCAATACTATTAATCTTGTGGATGTACAGGATTCAACTTTTTTCTTTTAAAATTGATTAAGATTCTCTGAGAATATACTATTATAAAGATGTAGTCATTACATGTATTTTAATATATATATATCCTAAATAGATAAACATACGGTTGGAATTAGATAAATATTGAAAAAAGAGCTGAATTTTATACACCCATAGAATTAGTGGTATTAGCATATTCAAAGTATTAGATATGATTAGGATTTTTGTTTATATTGATTGTTTGGTTGTGTGTGTGTACAGTCAATTAAGACGGATCTAATGATAAAGCTTTGAATAGTGAAAACTAAAATAACAAAATTTATAATTTTTGGAACAACAACTTACAGTACTTTTTCTGGAGTTGATATGGGCCTAACTCCTCAAAGATAATCTTTGAGGAAAAATGCTTTATATGGTCGTGATCAGATCATCGAACTCTACAAACTGGCATGTATTTAAATAAAAACGTAGATTTACGCTTGGGGATCTTTTCTCGTGAGTGCAGAGTTTTGTTAGCTCGAATATATTCGCAGCATAAAATATAACATATCATAGACAATCATTGTGTTATGACCTGCATCTCATTGTGATGCAGTCATAAGAATTTTCTCTCTTTGCCTGTGACATTATACATATGAACTTATCTTCTGCTTTTTCTCTTATTATTAGTCATACACCATGGAGTTTTCCTTTCCTTCTATATATGTTGGAATTTTCCATTTCGTTCTCTTCTTCTTTCTTTTGTGTTGTTATATGAATTTTTCCGTGCTTATCGTTTATAAAAATTTCTCAACCCCTGTTATTACCCTATATATATAGTTTCGTTGTCATGAAAAGGATGATTTTTGAAGTAATACAGTTATAGGAATAAAATATAAGTAGGATTAAGATCTCACAAATTGTCTTAACTGTTTTCATTCAATCTCTCAATATTCTAGATAATGAGTTCGATACTTGTGCAAAATACTATTCTTTCACTCATCATCACCAGTATTACATTTGGTGTTCTCTTGTCCCTTAATTATTTAAATAAGAAAAAGTTGATTACCAGTGAAGTTTCACGAAAAGTAGTTCATATTGGAGCTGGAACACTTTATCTTGCCATTTATTTCTATAATGATTATGGCTATTTTTCAAAATATTTGAATATATTTCCATATCTTTTTTGGACTTGTATACTTATTTGGAAGAGTCAATATCATTCTTCTGTTCGACAACAATATGATCTTGTGGTGGGTACAATAACAAGAAATAATCGTCCAAGTGAACTTTTACGTGGACCATTATTTTTTAATATTGTTACCATCATTTGTGGTACTCTTTTATATAAAACAATACTTGGTTCTATTATCATGGGTATATTAACATGGGGAGATGGTTTAGCTGCTGTCATTGGTGCTCGATCTGGTAGTCGACGAAAAATTTATGGAAACAAAACATTGGATGGATCATTGACTGTTTTTCTTGTTGGTATCATAGCTGCAATAACTTACACTTTTATTCTTGTTGGTTTTCAATCAGTTCATGTGTTTAAAATTTGTGTGATATCTTTTGTTACAGCAGTGATAGAAACAATAAGTCCATCTGATTTTGATAATTTAACTATTCCGTTAGCTATTATTGTTTCATATTATTTTCTATTTTAATCAAATTTGAATAAAGAATAAATCTTTATCTATGCTATTCTAGATGTTACAACCATTAAAACATATTCTTCAACAAAAACATATTATATTAGCTAGTAGTTCACCACAACGTAAACAATTACTTCAATCGATTGGCTTAAATTTTGATATAATTATTTCTGATTTTGCTGAAGATCTTGATCGCACATCATATAAAGAAAATCTTTCTCAATATGTTATTGATACAGCTGAACATAAATGTCGTCATGTCTATCAACAAATTAAATTAAATGAGAATGAGAAAAATAATTTAATTATTATAGGTGCTGATACAATGTGCTCATTAAATAATGTTGTCTATGGAAAACCATGTGATAAAGAAGATGCTTTTCGTATGCTAAAAACATTCTCTAATAATACACATCAAGTTTGTACTGGTGTTTGTCTTCTACAAGGAGATATGATAATAAAGACATTTTCTGAAACTACTGATGTTACATTTGGTTCAATTGATGATGAAACTATTCGAGCCTATGTTGAAACAGGTGAACCAATGAATAAAGCAGGAGCTTATGGTATACAATCTTTAGGCGCAACATTGGTTAAGAAAATAGATGGTGACTATTTTAATGTAGTTGGTTTTCCAATTTATCATTTTTGTACACAATTGAAGGCGTTACTGAATAATGAAATCAAATAAAAAGAATGATCATTTGCTAAAAAAATAATAGAACAAAGATAAACAATCTGATCATAAAATATTACTTTCAATCATCGATCATTGTGATATATTATCAAGTGCCATTATGATTGATAGAGTTTTCTTACATTTTTTCCCTATTCTCTACATTATATCAATAGGTGTTCTTAATTTGAAGACTTTTGGAGCGAATAGAAAAAAAGATAAAACATATAGCTTCGAAACTCTTATGACAGACAATTGGTTTAGAAAAATAATCAATGTAATTGAAAATAACGTCCTTTAAAGGACAGAGACGCATAAGAACATAATTTGGCTCATAGCACTTTTCAAACTAGACCCATCACAATCATAAAGGGTGTATCCTAAGTTTTGATCCCTTCAAGTAATACTCATTTGTTATATGTTTTTCCTACAGAATAGGCTAATATTCACAGCATATATACTAGACATCTAAATCTACTCAACGCTAGAATTTCAGCTTTCTACCTTTTATAGTCACAGAGATATGAGTAACTTAAAATTCATAGGAATTTCTTGACATAACGGGTGAGCCAGAATAAATGGCCATATTTTGCATTTTATTTTCTCATCATCTAATATGTCATATTACAGAAAAAAATATACCATAAAATGCAACCTGAAAAACTCTATAACCTACATAGTAAAGCATATTTTAATTGTGTACATTTTCTTCTGAAAAACGGAAAATCGCACAAAGATTACTTATTTCATCCTTTTATCACCTAATACGTCATCATGAATAAAAACAGAATATACTACAAGATGCAACATGAAAACCTCTACAACCTACATGATGAACCTTATTTTAATTATGTACTTTTTGTTCTAAAAAAAGTGTGCGATCACTTTTCACAGCGTCGAAAATTGGTCTCATAGAATTTTCATTGTTTTCAAAACAAATAGTACACAATTAAAATGAGCTGTACTGTGTAGGTTGTAGAGCTTTTCACGTAATAGCTTGTGGTATATTTTCTTCGTTAATATGACGTATTAGATGATGAAAACCTAAAATATAAAACGTAGCTAATTATACTTGATCTATCCGTTAATTATTTCAAAATTTTCCTATGAATTTTATGTTACTCATATCTCTGTGTCTCTAAAAAATCGAAAGCTGGAATTCTAACGTAGAGGAGATTTAGATATCTAGTATATATTCTGTGAATATTAGCCTATTTTGCCAAAAAAACATATAATAAATGAGTATCACTTGAAGGGATCAAAACTTAGGATACATCCTTTATGTATTATTATGAATGTCTTAAGATTGACATGATTGAGGTGGAATATTGACATTTTCTTTCATTAAAGCAAGACCTTGATTCTTATCCTGTAATCTACTCTACAAAATTTTGTAGTTTCTAAGCAATTTTGGTGCTAAGTTCTTAGACTTTCTCATATTTCATAAGTTCAATTAAAAATTTCTAAACATGTTGCAAAATATTACACACTAACGTATTTCAAGAAAACAGTCGAGTTTGCCTTCGAATTATTTTTGTGTCAAATTTACTAACATTCTTCAATATTTTTGTCAATAAAACTGATCACTCTGGCAATAGTTGTTTTTCAATAATATTTTTCTAAAAATAAAAGACGATTCCAACCAATAGAATCAAGGAATAGAAATTCTTGGACTGACCATGTTTTTGCAGCTGTTTTTTTTTGTTTTTTTATGAAAATGAATTTAGAGTCGACCACATTTTTATTATGAAAAACAATCTCTTCATTCCAGACTTGAGCAAAGAAGCAGCTAGTCATTTTAAATCATCACAGCGTTTCATATATCTATCGAACTCTAACAGGAATTTCCATTTATGTTTATAAGAGAAATAAGCAAGACAAAAAAAATAATACTTTTTCATCTTCTACCAATCACAAAATGTTTGGATGAGTCTAGGCAATGATAGAAGAAAATCATAGTGCCGCATGTAATAACACACAATCATTTCGTTCCTATAGTACAGCTAATTATCATCGGTTGATACTAACTTTGTTTTTATTTGAATATCAATTAGTTTACAATTTATTTTTCATATGCTCAAGTGAAGGCAATCATTTTAAAAGAAACATCATGAGTAATAATGATTTAGCTCAAATAATTTAAAATACTAAAAATATTTGATGTTACTTCGATAGATTTGAAAAAGACTGATTGATGATGTTATTTGAGATTGTTACTTTGAGGGAAAACAATATTATCGATTATAAGTGATAGTAATTCAATTTAATACTATGGATGAGTTATTCAGAAATATATATATTTTCATTTTTATTCTTTAATTATTATAATCTTATTCATGTTAATATTGTAGAATTGCTACTATCACTCGTACCAATATCAATATTTGATAGTCATTTCAATTCACCATACAATATACTACTTCATAACATTGGCAAACTTATTGATTACTAGATCAAAAGAGTTCATTTGTTTTATTGTTTCGATCAGAAATGATTAAAACAAATGTCCATAGCATATTGATCTGTTCAGATTTACATCGTTTCCAGTGATGTCAAAACATAAAATAATGAGAGACTTTACTGTATACATAGAAACAAGTATAAGTTGTGACTCTTCGTAGGATTCTATGCATCCCCATGCTGCGACACACTTTTAAAAGATTAATTATGTAGGTAATTTTTTAAAAACCTTTTGAGTAATTGAATTCAACTTTCATGTTTGACATGTGTGACAGATTCGGACATATAGGAAAGAAATATCATAACTAAAATATGATTTTATTTGAGATTTAGCCGTATTTTACATTTCTTTCAGAAAAGACTTGTTATTTCTTTTTATCAATGTTTCCTGAAGAAATAATAAAACAGATTATATGAGATTAAAATTTACTTTATCTACAATTATCTATGTCTAACAGCTGCAACAAAAATGAGTTCTAAATTGTTATTAATTCGACTATCGTCAACTCTATTCGAACATATTATTAAACAAATAAGAAATTAACAGTAAAAAAGAATTCAAGGAAAATGAAAGGAACATACAATATGCAGACAAATCATTACTAGAAAAACAAAACATAATGAAACATGAGATTGAAAAATAGTTTTTCCAATTGTCTCATTAAATTATGAATCAAATGACTGATGGCATGGAGATTTTGATTAATAATATTTATAGAAAATTTGCTTAATCATCATAAATTAGTTCATCATCGCTTGATTCATAAATATCGAGCTCTTCAAATTGTAACCAATTCGTAGGATTGAGTTGTACTTTATCGATAGAGTTTTCTTCATCAGAATTCACTTTTGTTGCGTTCATTAAATGTAAATTTTGAGAATTTCTTTGTTGACTACGTGAATATTTTGTTATAATAGGCATTGATTTACTTGGCTTAAATTTCTTTTCGTATATCACATCATTAAATGTAACACGTTTAACAGATATAGAAGTACTTGATGTTGAAGGTAGACTATTATTATCATTAATCATCGATATAGAATCATTACTGTTTTCATTATCATTCTTTTTATCACATGTGTTAAGATATGATTGGCTGCATTGAAACCGTGTATATCTATTCCACATCTGATTAATTAAACCAGAATAGGAATAATTTTTTGATTTTTTTAATATTCCCTTAAAAGAGAAGAGAAATAAAAATAGAATTTGTCTTATTTAATTTAACATACTTTAGGCTTAAATTCTCTATTTGATGTTGATATTAGATTAACTTTATTTTCTAATACAGATTGATTAACAATTGATGAAGTTGAGTTCATTTTTGACATCACTTTTGTATTGTTTTCGCTTTCGTCAAACGTATTATCGTCAATACTAATCAATATTCGTTTTTCTTCGTTGCTTAATTTTGAGTTGTGTATGTGTGTCAAAAAGTTTTTTAATAACTGTTCGAGAATATCAACGACGAATTAGATTTTATAGGTAGAGGCTGTTTATTATCAAATACTACGTTTTATAAATGTTTTTTCGAAAAATATTTTCTCTTTAGCACAACTTGACCGATAGTGATGTATGAAATTATTATGACCTTTAGATGTTAGTTATACTGATAAGACCCTAAATTTATACATAAAATGTCAAATCTGAATATGAAAATGCTCTATGACATAAAAATATATGTATATATTTTTTTATCAATAATTATCAACAAAATTCTGTCAATTTATTTTGAAAGAAAATAGAACAGATAGAATAGATTATTTTTCTGTGCAATAGAAATTTAAAGAGGAAACTATGTAAATAGGTGAAGCAAAAATATGATTAACAACTAACTCGTTTAGGTCATGCATGATTGATATTATTACTTATCATGAAAAATCTATAGGAATAATTATTTATTTATTTAATGAAAAAAAAAGAATAGCAAAATACAGAAAGAATGATTAATAAAACAAATTATAACTATAATTCGATGCCTTTTTTTTAATGATCTGTACATGACTGAAAAATAAAATAAATCTCAATCAGCGAATATCGGAAGGTTTGGGTATATTGAGAACATAATTTTTGCTTGAAGTTGTATATGAAATACTCTTACAAGTTATAAATTGTAATCTTCTTGTCTTTGTCGTTAGTAATTTCAAGTGAATGAAGATTCATTATTATTGATTTTTCTGTTATAAGAATATCTAAGAGATGAAAAAACTTGACTTTATTAATCATAAACGAATGATTCCAATAACAAGTTTTGTCTTTTTTTGTTAGCATATTAAACAAATCTCTAGAATATTGCATATGAAATTTCAGATAATAAATGATTTTTGTTTGCATGAAGTAAAAGGTTCTATTGATGATTATTGTTGTCAAAAGATGAAGAATTTACTATATATCTATAGTCCGATATTAAGACCTCATTGATGAACAGCAAAATAGTATATATTTCGTTTTTCGTGTCAATAACAAAATAAGTCATACGATTATGATATAAAGTGTATGGCCTTGAATAGGGAAGATAGAAGGTATAACATTAGTTATTACGCATTGGATTTTATTCTTTTTTTTTGCTTTGCACTTGTTTTTTTATTACGCTTCGATAACTTATTAATAGGTTACATAGAAGAAGAAAATTTGAGATGCGCTGTATTTTATGACGTAGTTATTATGCGCAATAAAGTTCATAGTACAACAAATATACTAATAATAACAAGTTGTACTTTGATCCTGTACAATATAGGCTTGTATCAAAATGGTCATCAAAGAGATTTCTATATTAATCATTAAGATCGGTCACAATATGTATAAAGTCCATATGAAAGGTCTTGAAATAATAAATGAGAAGACGAAAAATAATGAGATGACTATTAGTGCTAATCAACACACACACATATTGATCTGAAAGTAAATATGTTAAAGAATGATCTTGAGATTTCATTCTTTATTGCGATGCAAAACACGTTTGAAATTATGAAAAGCATCTAGATGTTGAAGATAAACAAATAAGAACGAAAATTCACTGAC